TCACGCGAAATCAAACTTGCGTCGCGACGGAGCTGACGGAACGTCGAACCAACTTCAGGGATGAAGCTCTCTAAGAAGATTTGAACCGCAAAACTCTTCCAAATGGTTAAGATGGCTCCGGTTAAAGCCTTTCTGTGTCTAGCATTAGTGGTAGGTCATCTTAGCTTTTTTGGCCGATAACTCATTTCTTCCTACCATGAAGTTGGGATGACGTATATTCCATCATCTCCTATCGCCATGTTTGTCGGCACGCCCAACGGCACAAATATATAGATTGCTTTGAATAACGCCAGTCATTTTAATGGAACACAGGAGACTTGCAGCATAGATTAACGACAAGCTTACCGTGTTTACAAAGAAGAAGGGAAGAAATAGCAAGAGACGAATCATGCAAAACTAGAAAAAACGATAGGGCGGCAACGCCGTACACTGCGTTTTGATACTTCGGTTGAGCTCGCTTTTGTATCACAAAGCAACAGTAGAGAATGACCCACAGCTTCGTCCCGTTGACGAACTCAAGGCTCAGCAGTAGTGCAACCTCCGATCTAATTCGTCGAAGGGTACCTACTACCTCAAAACACTCGAGCTAGTCACGAGAAAAGCGGCTCAAACTTTTGTTATTAAAAATATCCTTGAGGTTGTCATGGTCGATACTGAAAGGAAGACAATGGCTTACTACTTGACTTTGGTACTATGACGCTTTCCATCAATCGATCGAATGTCACGCCGAATCGAACGGCTTTACCGAGAAAACACTTGCAGAAATGTCCAAACCTTTATGAACCTTATCAGATGAATGGAAGCATCGATATTCACTCCACTCACTGCACAATTTGCTTCCAATACAGCAAGTCAAGTACTCTATCTGACTGCATCAATAGTTTCAGTTGACATCACGACCATGAAATTCTCCATCTTCCTCGTCGCTGCCATCGCCATTCTTGGTGTCGTCACAGCTACCGACCAGCCTGCCGTGACAACACCAGCCGAAGCTCTCAAGAAGATTCAGGCGTCCGCCTTACCCGATGGCGTCACGCTAACTGGTACGACGGAGAAGATTGACCCACCTGCTACTGCAGTTGTCGCGAAGGAATCACATGCCCGTGATGACAAGGATGATGACGATGATGAAAAGGAGCAATTCGGCTGGGGTTTAGGAGGTCTTGGTGGATGGGGCCTCGGCGGCTGGGGCAGTTGGGGAGGCTGGGGAGGATATGGACCCTATCGCTTCGGCTTTTTGCGAGGTGGCCTCCTTGGCTGGGCCTATCCGTTGGGCTATTGGAACACGTTTGGTGCGGGTTTGTACGGTGGCGGGTGCGGTCTGGGTGTGCCCTTTGGTGGTCTCTACTACTGCTAAGTTTACATCGACAGTGTTGCAGCTCACAGCTATTTGCTACCGTATCGGTGGCGCAATGCAGCTTCAATAATTGACACTCTCAAATAAATGATGTCTTTTTGTCACGCTTTTACTAATGTTGTTAAGGTTGTTGCCATCGCGCAATAATGAGCTGTTGGCTTTGCTTGGTGCCTTGTCAAAGAAAATAGAATGCTTATATGTTTGGGCTAGATATCAATCATTCTCTGCTTCTGAAACTTAGTCCAGAACTCCAATAATATGCTTCAAAACAAAGGCAAAGCGACAATTTCGTACTTTACAGTAACAATGGCATCTACTTTCGCTATGCGTTTGCTCGGCATTAGTCGCTTGCAAATGGACCCACGCCCTCCCTCGCACGATGGGTGCTGCACGAAGACGACAATATGATTGAAAACGGCTATGAACATTGTGATACTGGAGAAGATTGTTGCATTATAAGAGCGTAAAACTAGCCCTGGAATACGTGCACGTCACTTGCAACGTTTTGCTCACACTAACTATTGTCTCTGTCCAACAAACCCGACGGACAACAAATTTCTGTCTTTTCTTGATCGATTGAGCCGCTTTAAAATACAGAGACAAAGATCAAACAAACCCCGAAGCCATTAAATTAACTCATAGTTCCGACACAATCACAATGTAGATTTCAACCAAGCAGGTAGCATCAAAAATCACGCGAAATCAAACTTGCGTCGCGACGGAGCTGACGGAACGTCGAACCAACTTCAGGGATGAAGCTCTCTAAGAAGATTTGAACCGCAAAACTCTTCCAAATGGTTAAGATGGCTCCGGTTAAAGCCTTTCTGTGTCTAGCATTAGTGGTAGGTCATCTTAGCTTTTTTGGCCGATAACTCATTTCTTCCTACCATGAAGTTGGGATGACGTATATTCCATCATCTCCTATCGCCATGTTTGTCGGCACGCCCAACGGCACAAATATATAGATTGCTTTGAGTAACGCCAGTCATTTTAATGGAACACAGGAGACTTGCAGCATAGATTAACGACAAGCTTACCGTGTTTACAAAGAAGAAGGGAAGAAATAGCAAGAGACGAATCATGCAAAACTAGAAAAAACGATAGGGCGGCAACGCCGTACACTGCGTTTTGATACTTCGGTTGAGCTCGCTTTTGTATCACAAAGCAACAGTAGAGAATGATCCACAGCTTCGTCCCGTTGACGAACTCAAGGCTCAGCAGTAGTGCAACCTCCGATCTAATTCGTCGAAGGGTACCTACTACCTCAAAACACTCGAGCTAGTCACGAGAAAAGCGGCTCAAACTTTTGTTATTAAAAATATCCTTGAGGTTGTCATGGTCGATACTGAAAGGAAGACAATGGCTTACTACTTGACTTTGGTACTATGACGCTTTCCATCAATCGATCGAATGTCACGCCGAATCGAACGGCTTTACCGAGAAAACACTTGCAGAAATGTCCAAACCTTTATGAACCTTATCAGATGAATGGAAGCATCGATATTCACTCCACTCACTGCACAATTTGCTTCCAATACAGCAAGTCAAGTACTCTATCTGACTGCATCAATAGTTTCAGTTGACATCACGACCATGAAATTCTCCATCTTCCTCGTCGCTGCCATCGCCATTCTTGGTGTCGTCACAGCTACCGACCAGCCTGCCGTGACAACACCAGCCGAAGCTCTCAAGAAGATTCAGGCGTCCGCCTTACCCGATGGCGTCACGCTAACTGGTACGACGGAGAAGATTGACCCACCTGCTACTGCAGTTGTCGCGAAGGAATCACATGCCCGTGATGACAAGGATGATGACGATGATGAAAAGGAGCAATTCGGCTGGGGTTTAGGAGGTCTTGGTGGATGGGGCCTCGGCGGCTGGGGCAGTTGGGGAGGCTGGGGAGGATATGGACCCTATCGCTTCGGCTTTTTGCGAGGTGGCCTCCTTGGCTGGGCCTATCCGTTGGGCTATTGGAACACGTTTGGTGCGGGTTTGTACGGTGGCGGGTGCGGTCTGGGTGTGCCCTTTGGTGGTCTCTACTACTGCTAAGTTTACATCGACAGTGTTGCAGCTCACAGCTATTTGCTACCGTATCGGTGGCGCAATGCAGCTTCAATAATTGACACTCTCAAATAAATGATGTCTTTTTGTCACGCTTTTACTAATGTTGTTAAGGTTGTTGCCATCGCGCAATAATGAGCTGTTGGCTTTGCTTGGTGCCTTGTCAAAGAAAATAGAATGCTTATATGTTTGGGCTAGATATCAATCATTCTCTGCTTCTGAAACTTAGTCCAGAACTCCAATAATATGCTTCAAAACAAAGGCAAAGCGACAATTTCGTACTTTACAGTAACAATGGCATCTACTTTCGCTATGCGTTTGCTCGGCATTAGTCGCTTGCAAATGGACCCACGCCCTCCCTCGCACGATGGGTGCTGCACGAAGACGACAATATGATTGAAAACGGCTATGAACATTGTGATACTGGAGAAGATTGTTGCATTATAAGAGCGTAAAACTAGCCCTGGAATACGTGCACGTCACTTGCAACGTTTTGCTCACACTAACTATTGTCTCTGTCCAACAAACCCGACGGACAACAAATTTCTGTCTTTTCTTGATCGAATTGAGCCGCTTTAAAATACAGAGACAAAGATCAAACAAACCCCGAAGCCATTAAATTAACTCATAGTTCCGACACAATCACAATGTAGATTTCAACCAAGCAGGTAGCATCAAAAATCACGCGAAATCAAACTTGCGTCGCGACGGAGCTGACGGAACGTCGAACCAACTTCAGGGATGAAGCTCTCTAAGAAGATTTGAACCGCAAAACTCTTCCAAATGGTTAAGATGGCTCCGGTTAAAGCCTTTCTGTGTCTAGCATTAGTGGTAGGTCATCTTAGCTTTTTTGGCCGATAACTCATTTCTTCCTACCATGAAGTTGGGATGACGTATATTCCATCATCTCCTATCGCCATGTTTGTCGGCACGCCCAACGGCACAAATATATAGATTGCTTTGAGTAACGCCAGTCATTTTAATGGAACACAGGAGACTTGCAGCATAGATTAACGACAAGCTTACCGTGTTTACAAAGAAGAAGGGAAGAAATAGCAAGAGACGAATCATGCAAAACTAGAAAAAACGATAGGGCGGCAACGCCGTACACTGCGTTTTGATACTTCGGTTGAGCTCGCTTTTGTATCACAAAGCAACAGTAGAGAATGACCCACAGCTTCGTCCCGTTGACGAACTCAAGGCTCAGCAGTAGTGCAACCTCCGATCTAATTCGTCGAAGGGTACCTACTACCTCAAAACACTCGAGCTAGTCACGAGAAAAGCGGCTCAAACTTTTGTTATCAAAAATATCCTTGAGGCTGTCATGGTCGATACTGAAAGGAAGACAATGGCTTACTACTTGACTTTGGTACTATGACGCTTTCCATCAATCGATCGAATGTCACGCCGAATCGAACGGCTTTACCGAGAAAACACTTGCAGAAATGTCCAAACCTTTATGAACCTTATCAGATGAATGGAAGCATCGATATTCACTCCAATCACTGCACAATTTGCTTCCAATACAGCAAGTCAAGTACTCTATCTGACTGCATCAATAGTTTCAGTTGACATCACGACCATGAAATTCTCCATCTTCCTCGTCGCTGCCATCGCCATTCTTGGTGTCGTCACAGCTACCGACCAGCCTGCCGTGACAACACCAGCCGAAGCTCTCAAGAAGATTCAGGCGTCCGCCTTACCCGATGGCGTCACGCTAACTGGTACGACGGAGAAGATTGACCCACCTGCTACTGCAGTTGTCGCGAAGGAATCACATGCCCGTGATGACAAGGATGATGACGATGATGAAAAGGAGCAATTCGGCTGGGGTTTAGGAGGTCTTGGTGGATGGGGCCTCGGCGGCTGGGGCAGTTGGGGAGGCTGGGGAGGATATGGCCCCTCTTCCTTACTATTTACTGGCTCTGTATCCTATGTATATGTAAACATGTATAGTCGCTATATTAACTACGTATAGTGACCACATGGCTCTGTGCCACGATGCGACCCTTCGAACCTTAGGTACGGTCACATCAACCTACCACTGTTCCCAAGGTACATCTACACCACAATGGTGTGGCAGCTGTGTATGTACAAGACACAACTTTGTGTGACTTTGTTACAAAAAATGTATATGATACATATTGGCATGTCAAGCGAATGATTTATCTTTTAACAACGTTAAGTTGTCATTCGACAAGTTTTATTTTACTTAAAAAGCGCAACAGGAATTACTCGCCAACCCGTTTGAGATTATAGATGGATCGTAGTGTTGGCTGGTGTGGCCCTCAGTTTTGCTATAACTGTATCCAGCACTTAATCGATTCGAAGTGCTAAGTTTAAGGACCATGTTTCTAGTATTGATGTCAATGACCATGTTTCAAGTTCTGAGCTCGAAGATAACGTATCCGAGCGGTCCTCTAGATCGCTAGCGAGTAAAGTATCGAGGTCGCGCAACATATTCAGATAGTTGGAGGCGGGGGCAATAGCAGCACGTGGGCACGCAAAGGGTTAACCATACTAACGTCGAGCAGATGGCAGCTATAGACGTTGTTCACGAAGTGGTTTCCTGATAAAGTCAGCATAGAAGAAGTTACAAGGCAGATTGAGCTTTGGATATCGGATGTAAGTCATATGGTCTCAAGTACTTTGATTTATACTTTGCGTTGATCGATTCTTTGACACGACGTTTGGAAATGAGGGCTTGCAAAAATTTCTCGAAAATAGGAAGAAATATCCCATTGATGATGAATACGTCTTTCAGAATTTGCGGCTAATGGAAGCGTATTACTTAGAAAAACAACGCAATGTGAATCCTGTCTATATCCTCGAGCAACTGAACTTTGGTGATGGACAGGACAACATACTGCAACATCTATCCTTCGGGGAGTAGAATGCATTCTGCGTGTCTCGATATATAGATCCGTATGCGTCTCTGATTGAGATAATAAGCAAGCGCATACCGATGAGGAGATTGTATATGTTCTTAAATACACCGCGAGTATCCTTGCCATTCACAGCGTCCGGTCGCTTAACTCGGCGCTGGTCGAGTACACAAAAATAAAGAGGGAATCTGGAGGTAGAAAAATTGCTCGCGCTCTTCAAAATTTTGCAAGAAGCCTTGCCGATAGATTTGTCAGGCACCCAAGTTAGCGCTACTTAAGTTAAAAAAAGAAAGATGGATTCTTTATGCGGCTCAATCGCAAAGGCGTTTTGACACGACTCTTGTTTAGTTGATGGATTAAGTACATACATTGGCCCACTGAGTATGATTCAGAGATATTTGTAGTTTGGCAAAGTGAGGAAATTCTACGAGAGGAAGGATGAAGCTGATGCCTTGTTAGTCACTGCAGAATCTCAGCGGGAATACTCGGTGGAATCGTTTCAGATGAGGGTGGCAAGCTGGTAAATCTAGGCGGCTGATGGATTTTAGCGTCTTTCGCAAGGACATATTAGGCTTTTAAAGATTAGGTATTGGCTCTTGATCGTGTTTGCTAGCTCCTACTCGTAGTTGCAGTAGTTTACAAGCGTAATCAAAGCTGTCGTTATTTGCATTATATAAGAGCTATTAGTTTACGCAGCAGTGAAACGTAGCGACTGACCAGCAAGTTTTCTTGCATACTAGCGGGAAGATGAGAAGGTAAACGGTGTTCATATCAGTGTATTTTGCTACATTATCTACTGCTAAGTGTTTGCCATATCTAAGATCACCAAGCATACCTATTCTACGCCAAAAATCTACACAAATTAAAAAGGTGGCACTTGCAAGCAAGCGTTCATGCGCCAGCTCCAGTACCTGGTCTACTATTTATCAGTGGCCTCACACCTCATGAGTCGACTTGGTAAATCAGCGCACTACACAAAATTTCTTTGTTACTTTTCGGCTACATCGGTAGCTTCTTCACAGCTGGATCTGCGTCCGTAGTCACATTCTTTACATATCAAATGGTAGCTCACCACACCAAGCGCAATGTGTGGGACTACCGGTAATATGACCATCGCCATCTCCAGAAACGTGATGAAGATCATTGTAGAAGAGCCCTGTATCAAAGCTACTTACGCACCAAGTGCAGAGAAAGACTAGCTCCAAGAGCTTGTACGTCTTAGTTTTTTCCTAGCCCTCCCAAGGCTACCATTACAAGCTTGTACCTTTTAATTGTATCAACAACGTCCTTTCAATTGTATCAACAACGTCTCCAAGAGACCAGTTTCAAAGATACAGCTCATTTCTTTCGAGGAAGAGAACGCTCTAGCAACTAGTGCTATTCAGAGCAGGTTTAAAACTGATTTATATTTATGTTTAACTTTTAGTACTAAATATAGAAGCACCTACTCTATACTTAGTGCTAGTCACTATTTACTGGCTCTGTAGCCTATGTATATGGAAACATGTATAGTTGCTATATTAACTACGTATAGTGACCACATGGCTCTGTGCCACGATGCGACCCTTCGAACCTTAGGTACGGTCACATCAACCTACCACTGTTCCCAAGGTACATCTACACCACAATGGTGTGGCAGCTGTGTATGTACAAGACACAACTTCGTGTGACTTTGTTACAAAAAATGTATATGATACATATTGGCATGTCAAGCGAATGATTTATCTTTAACAACGTTAAGTTGTCATTCGACAAGTTTTATTTTACTTAAAAAGCGCAACAGGAATTACTCGCCAACCCGTTTGAGATTATAGATGGATCGTAGTGTTGGCTGGTGTGACCCTCAGTTTTGCTATAACTGTATCCAGCACTTAATCGATTCGAAGTGCTAAGTTTAAGGACCATGTTTCTAGTATTGATGTCAATGACCATGTTTCAAGTTCTGAGCTCGAAGATAACGTATCCGAGCGGTCCTCTAGATCGCTAGCGAGTAAAGTATCGAGGTCGCGCAACATATTCAGATAGTTGGAGGCGGGGGCAATAGCAGCACGTGGGCACGCAAAGGGTTAACCATACTAACGTCGAGCAGATGGCAGCTATAGACGTTGTTCACGAAGTGGTTTCCTGATAAAGTCAGCATAGAAGAAGTTACAAGGCAGATTGAGCTTTGGATATCGGATGTAAGTCATATGGTCTCAAGTACTTTGATTTATACTTTGCGTTGATCGATTCTTTGACACGACGTTTGAAAATGAGGGCTTGCAAAAATTTCTCGAAAATAGGAAGAAATATCCCATTGATGATGAATACGTCTTTCAGAATTTGCGGCTAATGGAAGCGTATTACTTAGAAAAACAACGCAATGTGAATCCTGTCTATATCCTCGAGCAACTGAACTTTGGTGATGGACAGGACAACATACTGCAACATCTATCCTTCGGGGAGTAGAATGCATTCTGCGTGTCTCGATATATAGATCCGTATGCGTCTCTGATCGAGATAATAAGCAAGCGCATACCGATGAGGAGATTGTATATGTTCTTAAATACACCGCGAGTATCCTTGCCATTCACAGCGTCCGGTCGCTTAACTCGGCGCTGGTCGAGTACACAAAAATAAAGAGGGAATCTGGAGGTAGAAAAATTGCTCGCGCTCTTCAAAATTTTGCAAGAAGCCTTGCCGATAGATTTGTCAGGCACCCAAGTTAGCGCTACTTAAGTTAAAAAAAGAAAGATGGATTCTTTATGCGGCTCAATCGCAAAGGCGTTTTGACACGACTCTTGTTTAGTTGATGGATTAAGTACATACATTGGCCCACTGAGTATGATTCAGAGATATTTGTAGTTTGGCAAAGTGAGGAAATTCTACGAGAGGAAGGATGAAGCTGATGCCTTGTTAGTCACTGCAGAATCTCAGCGGGAATACTCGGTGGAATCGTTTCAGATGAGGGTGGCAAGCTGGTAAATCTAGGCGGCTGATGGATTTTAGCGTCTTTCGCAAGGACATATTAGGCTTTTGAAGATTAGGTATTGGCTCTTGATCGTGTTTGCTAGCTCCTACTCGTAGTTGCAGTAGTTTACAAGCGTAATCAAAGCTGTCGTTATTTGCATTATATAAGAGCTATTAGTTTACGCAGCAGTGAAACGTAGCGACTGACCAGCAAGTTTTCTTGCATACTAGCGGGAAGATGAGAAGGTAAACGGTGTTCATATCAGTGTATTTTGCTACATTATCTACTGCTAAGTGTTTGCCATATCTAAGATCACCAAGCATACCTATTCTACGCCAAAAATCTACACAAATTAAAAAGGTGGCACTTGCAAGCAAGCGTTCATGCGCCAGCTCCAGTACCTGGTCTACTATTTATCAGTGGCCTCACACCTCATGAGTCGACTTGGTAAATCAGCGCACTACACAAAATTTCTTTGTTACTTTTCGGCTACATCGGTAGCTTCTTCACAGCTGGATCTGCGTCCGTAGTCACATTCTTTACATATCAAATGGTAGCTCACCACACCAAGCGCAATGTGTGGGACTACCGGTAATATGACCATCGCCATCTCCAGAAACGTGATGAAGATCATTGTAGAAGAGCCCTGTATCAAAGCTACTTACGCACCAAGTGCAGAGAAAGACTAGCTCCAAGAGCTTGTACGTCTTAGTTTTTTCCTAGCCCTCCCAAGGCTACCATTACAAGCTTGTACCTTTTAATTGTATCAACAACGTCCTTTTCAATTGTATCAACAACGTCTCCAAGAGACCAGTTTCAAAGATACAGCTCATTTCTTTCGAGGAAGAGAACGCTCTAGCAACTAGTGCTATTCAGAGCAGGTTTAAAACTGATTTATATTTATGTTTAACTTTTAGTACTAAATATAGAAGCACCTACTCTATACTTAGTGCTAGTCACTATTTACTGGCTCTGTAGCCTATGTATATGGAAACATGTATAGTTGCTATATTAACTACGTATAGTGACCACATGGCTCTGTGCCACGATGCGACCCTTCGAACCTTAGGTACGGTCACATCAACCTACCACTGTTCCCAAGGTACATCTACACCACAATGGTGTGGCAGCTGTGTATGTACA